AGTTGGAGTAGAAGATACATCACACACAATTGGAGTAGTAGATACATCACACACAATTGGAGTAGTAGATACATCAAAGACAGCTGGAGCAGAAGATACATCACACAGTTGGAGCAGAAGATAAATCACACACAGTTGGAGTAGTCGATACATCACACAGTTGGAGTAGTGGATACATCACACAGTTGGAGTAGAAGATACATCACACAGTTGGAGTAGTAGATACATCAAAGACAGCTGGAGCAGAAGATACATCACACACAGTTGGAGTAGTGGATACATCACACAGTTGGAGTAGAAGATACATCACACAGTTGGAGTAGAAGATACATCACACACAATTGGAGTAGTAGATACATCACACACAATTGGAGTAGTAGATACATCAAAGACAGCTGGAGCAGAAGATACATCACACAGTTGGAGCAGAAGATAAATCACACACAGTTGGAGTAGTGGATACATCACACAGTTGGAGTAGTGGATACATCACACAGTTGGAGTAGAAGATACATCACACAGTTGGAGTAGTAGATACATCAAAGACAGCTGGAGCAGAAGATACATCACACACAGTTGGAGTAGTGGATACATCACACAGTTGGAGTAGAAGATACATCACACAGTTGGAGTAGAAGATACATCACACAGTTGGAGTAGTGGATACATCACACAGTTGGAGTAGTGGATACATCACACACAATTGGAGTAGTAGATACATCAAAGACAGCTGGAGCAGAAGATACATCACACACAGTTGGAGTAGTGGATACATCACACAGTTGGAGTAGAAGATACATCACACAGTTGGAGTAGAAGATACATCACACAGTTGGAGTAGTGGATACATCACACAGTTGGAGTAGTGGATACATCACACAGTTGGAGTAGTGGATACATCACACAGTTGGAGTAGTGGATACATCACACACAATTGGAGTAGTAGATACATCAAAGACAGCTCGAGCAGAAGATACATCACACACAGTTGGAGTAGTGGATACATCACACACAGTTGGAGTAGTGGATACATCACACAGTTGGAGTAGTGGATACATCACACAGTTGGAGTAGAAGATACATCACACAGTTGGAGTAGAAGATACATCACACAGTTGGAGTAGTGGATACATCACACAGTTGGAGTAGAAGATACATCACACACAGTTGGAGTAGTGGATACATCACACAGCTTGAGTAGATGCATCACACAGTTGGAGTAGAAGATACATCACACAGTTGGAGTAGTGGATACATCACACAGTTGGAGTAGTGGATACATCACACACAATTGGAGTAGTAGATACATCAAAGACAGCTGGAGCAGAAGATACATCACACACAGTTGGAGTAGTGGATACATCACACAGTTAGAGTAGAAGATACATCACACAGTTGGAGTAGTGGATACATCACACACAATTGGAGTAATGGATACATCACACACAATTGGAGTAGTAGATACATCACACACAGTTGGAGTAGTGGATACATCACACAGTTGGAGCAGAAGATAAATCACACACAGTTGGAGTAGAAGATACATCACACACAGTTGGAGTAGTGGATACATCACACACAATTGGAGTAGTAGATACATCACACACAGTTGGAGTAGTGGATACATCACACAGTTGGAGTAGAAGATACATCACACACAATTGGAGTAGTAGATACATCAAAGACAGCTGGAGCAGAAGATACATCACACACAGTTGGAGCAGAAGATACATCACACACAGTTGGAGTAGTGGATACATCACACAGTTGGAGAAGTAGATACATCACACACAATTGGAGAAGTGGATACATCACACACAATTGGAGTAGTAGATACATCAAAGACAGCTGGAGCAGAAGATACATCACACAGTTGGAGCAGAAGATACATCACACACAGTTGGAGTAGTGGATACATCACACAGTTGGAGTAGTAGATATATCACACATAATTGGAGTAGAAGATACATCACACACAATTAGAGTAGAAGATACATCACACAGTTGGAGCAGAAGATAAATCACACACAGTTGGAGCAGAAGATACATCACACACAGTTGGAGTAGAAGATACATCACACAGTTGGAGTAGAAGATACATCACACACAGTTGGAGTAGTGGATACATCACACAGTTGGAGAAGTAGATACATCACACAGTTGGAGTAGAAGATACATCACACACAATTAGAGTAGAAGATACATCACACAGTTGGAGCAGAAGATAAATCACACACAGTTGGAGTAGTGGATACATCACACAGTTGGAGAAGTAGATACATCACACATAATTGGAGTAGAAGATACATCACACACAATTAGAGTAGAAGATACATCACACAGTTGGAGCAGAAGATACATCACACACAGTTGGAGTAGTGGATACATCACACAGTTGGAGTAGTAGATATATCACACATAATTGGAGTAGAAGATACATCACACACAATTAGAGTAGAAGATACATCACACAGTTGGAGCAGAAGATAAATCACACACAGTTGGAGCAGAAGATACATCTCACACAATTGGAGAAGTGGATACATCACACAGTTGGAGTAGTGGATACATCTCACACAATTGGAGAAGTGGATACATCACACATATTTGGAGTAGAAGATACATCACACACAGTTGGAGTAGTGGATACATCACACACAGTTGGAGAAGTGGATACATCACACATATTTGGAGTAGTAGATACATCACACACAATTGGAGTAGAAGATACATCACACAGTTGGAGCAGAAGATAAATCACACACAGTTGGAGTAGTGGATACATCTCACACAATTGGAGAAGTGGATACATCACACACAATTGGAGAAGTGGATACATCACACACAATTGGAGTAGTAGATACATCAAAGACAGCTGGAGCAGAAGATACATCACACACAGTTTGAGTAGTGGATACATCACACAGTTGGAGTAGTAGATATATCACACATAATTGGAGTAGAAGATACATCACACACAATTGGAGTAGAAGATACATTACACAGTTGGAGCAGAAGATAAATCACACACAGTTGGAGCAGAAGATACATCTCACACAATTGGAGAAGTGGATACATCACACAGTTGGAGTAGTGGATACATCTCACACAATTGGAGAAGTGGATACATCACACATATTTGGAGTAGTGGATATATCACACACAACTGGAGTAGTAGATACATCACACACAATTGGAGAAGTGGATACATCACACATATTTGGAGTAGTAGATACATCACACACAATTGGAGAAGTAGATACATCACACACAACTGGAGTAGTAGATACATCACACACAACTGGAGTAGTGGATACATCTCACACAATTGGAGAAGTGGATACATCACACATATTTGGAGTAGTGGATACATCACACACAATTGGAGTAGAAGATACATCACACAGTTGGAGCAGAAGATAAATCACACACAGTTGGAGTAGTGGATACATCTCACACAATTGGAGAAGTGGATACATCACACAATTGGAGTAGAAGATACATCACGCAGTTGGAGCAGAAGATAAATCACACACAGTTGGAGTAGTGGATACATCACACAGTTGGAGTAGTGGATACATCAAAGACAGCTGGAGCAGAAGATACATCACACACAGTTGGAGTAGTGGATACATCACACAGTGGGTGGGTGGGTGGATGGGTGGGGGTGGGTAGATAGGTAGTTAGGTAGTTGTGTGTGTGTGTGGGGGGGGGGGGGGGGGGGGTAGGTAGGTAGGTAGGTGTGTGTGTGTGTGTGCCGATTAATAGTGCTAACCCACTGAGATACCATTCCGCAGTTTAACATGAATACCCCACTCAGACACAGTATACTGACTCCGAGCCGACCAGTCCTTTTAGCCCCTTAATGCCGAGCGCCACACAGGGGTACAACAAGTACCATCTTTTATTGGTATGACGCGGCCGGGGTTCGAACCCCCGACCGTCCGCTCTCCGGGCAGATGCCCTAGACCACGGAGGCGGTCCGTCTTAACACGAGCAGATGGTAAAAACACATCGATGAACACACGTACGTTGGTTGTCCTGTTGATAGACTGGACTGCATGTCACAAAGTATGGCGATAGAGCTTCAAATAGGGTAATTATGTAAGCAAATCATCCCCATCTCTCAACTCATTTCATTCAACAACAAAAAACAAATACAGGTTCTTGTATGCATGAAATTACATCACCATAATAATAATGCATGTATATATTTACACTAAGTGTCTCGTCAAAACTACATCAGAGCACAATACAGCTGCACGGAATTCCCTTTTCAGAATTATGTACGTGGGACAGAGGGCACGTTGGTCTACACTTCAAGTAGATAGACACTATATAGTTTATATTACCTATTTAACCGAACAAACCGTCGAAGTAACATTAAAACATGTATTGGCGTTGATATGAATTCTTCCATCGGTCGCCCATGCAGAGAAATATGACATATTTATCAACTGACCAATCATTAATTACATATGACTGAACCTTTTTAAATATTAAATGCACTCGATTCGTATAACGCATTTACAGAACAGAGTACTATGAGTGCAAATGCCTGGATTTCACTTTCAAAACACAATCTGCATTTCTTCCATATAAGGTATCTTTGCAGTTCCCATGGCCACTGCGCATCTAGTGTAATTTCAAACGCAGTTAATCCCAACCAGCTCGTACCTATGTACGCCTTGGGGTTCTCTGTCTACCCTGCCAGCACTTGCTTCTACAGATACTCCCGTCACATCTACCGACATTCCATGGTTCCGGTTGAAGATGGAATGTGAAGATGTCAATGGAGATCTTTCTTTGACACCTTCTGCATATATCTGACCTATAACTCCACTTGCCCTCTCCCCTTCCGCCCAACGCTCGCACGTTCCCATTCACAACATGTGTGCGTACACCATCTGCGTGGTAGAGAGACTCACCCTTCTGATGACGTAGTACACACGGTGAGCGCATCCCCCGCCTCGTGCACTACACTGTATAAATACCGAAGTAAACTCATCATGGCATACCAGTCGGACTACATGTTAGATTAGCTCAACTGCATCATTTATACATAGTAATATCTACAGCTATGCTACCTGAGTATTTCATCATTGCCTGCTTGGTAAGTCCACGGACCTTCAATTGTTTTTGCATTCAGTACATGGATGCTAACTTATACGATTTTAATTATATTTCCCTTAATATCTGTAATTCATTCGCAACTTTAAGAATATTTTAATGTGGAAAAGAATCCATCACATGGCTTGCATTTTTCATGCACTTTGAGGCATTCTGATTCTTTCGAAATGTTAAGTTGACATGCTACATTTTTCATGGATGTAAATTTAATGGTTGTTTACTGTTCTAAAACAGGCATTCGTTGGCCTCGTCTCCAGTAAGCCTGCTCACACTGGAACTTTCCTTACTGAGAGCGACCAATTTCAACAGCACTTCGGACCAGGTAAAATAATACTAAATGTCAATTGAATCATGTGTTATCTCAGAAACAAACGAAACCAATAACAAAATGTTAATTTTCTGTGAACTGGTAATTTAGATTACTATTAGATTTGAATTTCATCTATAAGACTTTCTCTTTCATTCACTTACGAATGAATATTTATGTATATTTTCATTTAAGATAAAGTAAAAATGTATTAGTTATAACTAGTATTCCTATATCGTTGGAACTGTATTGTTTCACGTATAATATAATGAAGTCAAATTAATAACATAAAATTAACAGGCAGTTTTTAAAATTATCGAAATTGTTTATTAGTCTTCCAATATAGGAACTGTTGGTTTCACGTTGATACTGACTTTCTAGGTTGTGGAGGGAAGCCCGCTGAGTTCTTCTTTCTCCTGGACACCTCATCCAGCATCTGGGAACCCGATTTCAAAACTCAACTGAAGTTCGTCACTGACGTCGTCGATATGTTCGACATTGGCCCCAACAACACACGGGTCGGTGTTGCCACCTTCTCCAGCTACTACTACCCACAGTTCGGCCTGGATAGATATGAGGACAAAGAACAGCTCAAACAGGCCATTCTCAGGATACCCTACATGGGCGGAAACACTCTCACCGGAACAGCCATCAGATACATGCGCGAGAGGGCCTTTGCCCCACAGATCGTTCGTGAAGGCATAGACAAGATTGCCATAGTTTTGACTGACGGAAAATCACGGAATCCACCCCAGACCGAGTCAGAGGCCATGAAGACCAAGATGGAAGGCATCAACATCTTTGCTGTCGGTATCGGCGACAGGTTTGACTACAAGGAGTTGACCCTCATCGGCAGCGAACCCTCAGAGAGTTTCGTGTTTGAAGTGGCCAGCTATGGTGCTCTGGAAAGCATCATGGGCAAGTTAGCATTGGGTGCTTGTGAAGGTGAGATGATATTAGTATTACTATATTTCTGTTCAAATCAAATTGGGATATTTACTTGATTTACCTCTTATATCATGTAGAAGGGGTGAGGTGAGTTGGGGTGTTATGTACACTGAATCACATAACTTAACAGGCCTTTGCCATGAGGAAGTTAAAAGGCAACAATTAGGTTCTGTTTTAATTACCCTTAGGTGACCTTATGTAGGAAACCTGGCAATAATACGTGTAGGCAAGTTTTTAGCAGTAATCCAGCAATATCAAGAAGGGGCAATACCCCAAAATGATACACATTGATCCAATAGAACCCGGGCGTTTTGCGTGACGAGTGAACACTATTTGGCTATCCCCCACCCGCAAGCGAGTAGAATCATGATACAAATATAGGGACTCAAATTGAATATTCTCAAGATTTTGCACACATATTTAGATGAAGATGAACAGGGGTCTAATGTGTAATTTATAATTCCTCTTCAATGTCAATTGGGGGCTGGTCGGCTAGACTAGTGGTTTACTCGTTGGCTCGTCACGCCGAAGGCCCGGGTTCGAGTCTCAACATGGGTACAATGTGTGAAGCCCATTTCTGGTTTCCCCCGCCGTGATATTGCTGGAATATTGCTAAAAGCGGGGTAAAACAATACTCACTCACTCAATGTCAATTGAATTCTTGTTTCAGCTAACACGGCAGGCGCTATCATGCAAGGGGATCAGCCAGGTATGTACAAGTGTTCATCACGAAAACAACATAACAAATTGAAACAGTAAAAGTTTATATATTATATCCCCAATCATTCATTCCTGAAAATCAAAATAACATCTGAATTTGCAGCCACAACACAATAACTGGTCTTTTCCTACATATCGATCTACTGTATATAATGTACGCATTTTGACAGCGCTCATTTGCTGTTGTCTAAATATTTATCCTTACATTTCCAGCATGTCACAGCGACAGTTTAGCCGATGTGATGTTCGTGTTCGACTCTGCTGCCATGGGCTCCACCAAGACGGGACAAATACAGGAGTTTATCGGCACCGTCGTGGACGAGTTTAACTTTGCCGATGACGTCATGAGAGCCGGCGTTGTTTCCAGGAACTGCCACGATGGGGATATAGAGCTTGGAGAGGTGAGTGACCAATTCAATTACCATGCTTGTGTTTGTTTTGTTTGTTTGTTGCTTAACGCGCAATATTCCATCTCTATGACGACGGCTTGTCAATATTCAAGTCTGGACCAGACAATCTAGTGATTGATATTGTGAACAACGATTCACGCCGTCAGGGTGCAATGACAAACCATGACCCAAGTCACCGGGCCTGACCGTCCGATCAATTTGGTCTCCTCTTACGACCAGCATAGATTGCTGAAGATCTATTTTAACCTGAATTCCCCGTGGGGGACACTCTATGATAGATATTCACATTGATGTCAATTACTAGCTCCTATTCCTGATAATTGACATATTGTACAGTGTGTTTTTTGCTTGCTTCTTCAGCACGCTGACAAAAATGAGTTTGCCAAAGATCTTCGAAACCGGGACTTTCCGGAGCTAAGTCAAGTCGTACGAAAGATGCACCGTCACAGCTTTACCTTGGAACAAGGTGCACGTGAAATGGCGAGGCGGATGGCGGTTGTGTTTGTGGATGATAAGCTGGAGATTCCGAAGAGAGTGTTCCATGAGATTGAGGAATCCCAGAAGGAAAACATCGAGATCTTCGTGGTGGCCATTGGCGAGGACGTTGACATGACGGAGGTGGAGGTCATGGCGACATCTGCAAGTCACGTGTTCCAGATTGCCGACTATGACGCCCTGCGCGAGACTAATCTGCAACTTATCGACGTTCTGTGTGCAGGTATTAATGTATTCTTATTATGTAACAAGTATTCCGATGCATATGTCTTTAATCTGTAGACCGCCTCCGTGGTCCAGTAGATAGCGCGTCTTTTCGGAGAGCGGAAAGTCGGTGGTTTGATCCCTGGCCGCGCCATTGTGGTGGTAGTAGTAGTAGTAGTAGTAGTAGTAGTAGTAGTAGTAGTAGTAGTAGTAGTAGTAGTAGTAGTGGCCAACTGCCGTTATAAATAAAATGTTTGATTAATGCTGGATAATGTCATCTAATATTTCTTCACTATCTCAAATAATTTTGTAATCACATTCAACTTTTTACATTCTATTTTATATTGTAAATTGTAGCTTACTAAACTGTCCATCTCCTCTTTCCAGATCTCTGAAAAGAATGGTCATCTGGTGAAGGTGACTTGACCACTGCATCACATCACAATCCGACGTTCCACTGTATGAGACCCGTGACGATCCGGGTTAGAACTGGTCTTCAGCATCCCATGCCTGTTGTAAGAGGCGACAAACGGGATCGGGTGGTCAGGCTCGCTGATTTGGTTGACGACTCGATTATTTATAGACCGCCGTCATATAGCTGGACTATTGATGAGTGCGGCGTTACAGAACAACAAACAAACAATGTATGAGATCAACAGGTATCATCATGACCTCTAGTGCTGCTGGCAGACACTTTGATCAAAGAACACTCCCGTTACTATTCCATAGATCTTACGTGCTCAACTAGATAGTGGCTTTCATATTGAAGTTTATTTTCTCGAGTGACGTTTACTATTTACTGTGTGGTTGTTATTGTTTTGTATCTTGTCCAGCTCCGTCGAGAAATGAATTAAAGTACACCAACCCCTTATACCTGTTTTAAGTGATTGGGATTTGGTGGAATGCACGCAGCTACAAGATGTTCCTAAACACTCGGAGCTATTTTATTGTCATGCAAAACGTATACTTTTGTGTCATAAGTCGGTCGGGTAGCCTAGTGGTTAAAGCGTTCGCTCGTCACGCCAAAGACCCGGGTTCGATTGCCGAAATGGGTACAATGTGTGAGGCCCATTTCTGGTGTCCCCCGCCGTGATATTGCTAGAATATTGCTAACAGCGGCGTAAAACCATACTCACCATACTCAAGTCGTATACAATAACTACCACTGGTAGCCGTGTCATTTCTGTTGGCGTTGTTGACTATAACGTGTTGCTATAACGGGGTCTTGCTCCCTGTTTTAAATGACTGTATACTGCGGCCTGCCTGTGTCTACTTCAGTATTACATAATATATGTTGCTATAACGGGGTCCTGCTCTCAGTATTACATTAGTATGTGTGGTGTTTGTGTTTATATGTTGGCGTGTCGTGACATCACTGTTCGGGTTATATCTGTAATGTTATTAATACAATCAGGATGGCGTTTTTGTATATTGCTTACGAATAACTGAAAGTATGTTTGTGGATTATGGATTTCTTCAAGTGAAACTGAAATATGTTATATTTTGAAAATAAACTTTATCAAATATTGACTTATGCCTTTTGTCCTGTTTGCAAGTTATATTATCTATGTCCAAATCCGAATACAGAAAAGGGGGAATGTGATTTAGAAGCGTAATTCGATATCATTACCGATCATGTCATTGTCATATCATTGGCTGAATGTCAGCGGACCAGGCTGCATGCCGCGTACATATAGAAGGGAGGTAACTCTGAAACACCACAATGTGTACAAGTATATATTTGTCAAACGTTAGAAATATCTGATCTACCCGCGTCGTGGTGCCTTCGTGTCAATATATTTCCGTATACAACAACTACGCTGTTAATATAAATCCACATTGACGTTTTCTTTCTTACAATATCAATCCATTGAGCTTCAACTTATTTCAATGTGGAACATCGGCTCGTATGCTGCTTCAATAAAGTTTGACAAGATAGTTGTTTTGGTGTATTTTAGGAGCGCTTCAAGGACTATCTAATCAGGATTTGCCCACATTCGTTTCAGAAAGGGTGTGAATGATAACGATGTTACAGATGACCCAAACTATTTGTTGAGAGGTAGGAGTGATGGTGGGTAGGGGAGGTAGTGATGGTAGTTGGTTTGGGTGATTGGGTGGTGGTAGGTGAGGTTTGGATGGTTGGAGGTAGAAGTAATGGAGGGTAGTGGCTTGGGAGGAAGGGATGTTGTTGTACGGGTGTTTAGAAGTGGGGATGGTAGTTAGGGTAGGCTGGGGTGGTAGGAGGTAGGGATGGTGTTGGTACGGGTGTTGAGAAGTGGGGGAGGTAGTTGGGGTAGGCTGGGGTGGTAGGAGGTAGGGATGGTATTGTAGGGGTGTTGAGAAGTGGGGGTGGTAGTTGGGGTAGGCTGGGGTAGTGGGAGGTAGGGATGGTGTTATAGGGGTGATGTGAAGTGGGAGTGGTAGTTAGGGTAGGCTGGGGTGGTAGGAGGTAGGGATGGTATTGTAGGGGTGTTGAGAATTGGGGGTGGTAGTTGGGGTAGGCTGGGGTAGTAGGAGGTAGGGATGGTGTTATAGGGGTGATGTGAAGTGGGAGTGGTAGTTAGGGTAGGCTTGGGTAGTGGGAGGTAGGGATGGTGTTATAGGGGTGTTGAGAAGTGGGGGAGGTAGTTGGGGTAGGCTGGGGTGGTAGGAGGTAGGGATGGTATTGTGGGGGTGTTGAGAAGTGGGGGTGGTAGTTGGGGTAGTGGGAGGTCGGGATGGTGTTGTAGGGGTGTTGAGAAGTGGGAGTGGCAGTTAAGGTAGGCTGGGGTAGTGGGAGGTTCGGATCAAGTTCCTTGTCACGTGTCACTGATATTTAAAAACTCACCGGGTATGTCGTTTATACCATCATTGGAACACTTAGTTTGATTTCCTGAGAAAATGTGACTTATCTCAATTCTTCCTCCTCATGTCTCTGTACTTAACACGACGGCAGGCAGCAACTGACATGCCCCTGCTGATATACAGTCCTGACAGCAGCGTGACAGGAAGAAATATTGGAGTGCTCTCCGGGACTGCAATGTTACCACAGCCAGCCCTCATTGAGGATAACCTAATACTCCTTACTGTCGCCGTCGAGGGCTTCAACCGCATATCACACAACCACTTGAAGCTACCTTGCATCAGGCGGGTTGTAAGTATGTGTATGTAGTTGGTAAATATATGTACCGCTTCCAAATCAGGTTAAGCTGACTGTTCCTGGTGACTGGTATTTTCCAAGAATTGACTAAGATTAGCTATCACGAGGTGCACGGGGAGCCCAGTTGTCTCAGTCGTTGCACTTCCTGTTCACAGTTGTGTCCCTTTGGCCTGCTAGGATCATCTGATGGTTGGTTCGAATCCCGGCATCGCCCTTAGTATGACTTTGGGTTTTTCATAACCTCCCATGCTCGTGGGTAGTACCAAAGTGGTAAACATCTCTATGACTTGCTTCTGGCTTCCCTCCTAAAGTTTGTGTGCCCTGATGTAGCTGTACTAGTGTGTAAAGCTGGTGTGACCTGATGTAGCTGTACTGGTGTGTAAAGCTGGTGTGCCCTGATGTAGCTGTACTAGTGTGTAAAGCTGGTATGCCTTGATGTAGCTGTACTAGTGTGTAAAGCTGGTGTGCCCCGATGTAGCTGTACTAGTGTGTAAAGCTGGTGTGCCCCGGTGTAGCTGTACTAGTGTGTAAAGCTGATGTGCCCTGATGTAGCTGTACTAGTGTGTAAAGCTGATGTGCCCCGATGTAGCTGTACTAGTGTGTAAAGCTGGTGTGCCCTGAAGTAGCTGTACTAGTGTGTAAAGCTGATGTGCCCCGATGTAGCTGTACTAGTGTGTAAAGCTGGTATGCCCTGATGTAGCTGTACTAGTGTGTAAAGCTGATGTGCCCCGATGTAGCTGTACTAGTGTGTAAAGCTGGTATGCCCTGATGTAGCTGTACTAGTGTGTAAAGCTGGTGTGCCCCGATGTAGCTGTACTAGTGTGTAAAGCTGATGTGCCCTGATGTAGCTGTACTAGTGTGTAAAGCTGATGTGCCCCGATGTAGCTGTACTAGTGTGTAAAGCTGATGTGCCCTGATGTAGCTGTACTAGTGTGGAAAGCTGGTATGCCCTGATGTAGCTGTACTAGTGTGTAAAGCTGGTATGCCATGTTGAGCTGTTCTAGTGTGTAAAGCTGGTGTGCCCTGATGTAGCTGTACTAGTGTGTAAAGCTGATGTGCCCTAATGTGGCTGTACTAGTGTGTAAAGCTGGTATACCCTGATGTAGCTGTACTAGTGTTTAAAGCTGGTGTTCCTTGATATAGCTGTACTAGTGTGTAAAGCTGATGTGCCGCGATGTAGCTGTACTAGTGTGTAAAGCTGGTATGCCCTGATGTAGCTGTACTAGTGTGTAAAGCTGGTGTGCCCCGATGTAGCTGTACTAGTGTGTAAAGCTGATGTGTCCCGATGTAGCTGTACTAGTGTGTAAAGCTGGTGTGCCCCGATGTAGCTGTACTAGTGTGTAAAGCTGATGTGCCTCGATGTAGCTGTACTAGTGTGTAAAGCCGATGTGCCATGATGTAGCTGTACTAGTGTGTAAAGCTAGTGTGCCATGATGTAGCTGTACTAGTGTGTAAAGCTGGTGTGCCGCGATGTAGCTGTACTAGTGTGTAAAGCCGATGTGCCATGATGTAGCTGTACTAGTGTGTAAAGCTAGTGTGCCATGATGTAGCTGTACTAGTGTGTAAAGCTGTTATGCCCTGAAGTAGCTGTACTAGTGTGTAAAGCCGATGTGCCATGATGTAGCTGTACTAGTGTGTAAAGCTGGTGTGCCCTGATGTAGCTGTACTAGTGTGTAAAGACGATGTGCCATGATGTAGCTGTACTAGTGTGTAAAGCTAGTGTGCCCTGATGTAGCTGTACTAGTGTGTAAAGCTGGTATGTCCCGATGTAGCTGTACTAGTGTGTAAAGCTGGTGTGGACTGATGTAGCTGTACTAGTGCGTAAAGCTGGTGTGCCCTGATGTAGCTGTACTAGTGTGTAAAGCTGGTGTGCCCTGATGTAGCTGTACTAGTGTGTAAAGCTGGTATCCCCCGATGTAGCTGTACTAGTGTGTAAAGCTGGTGTGTCCTGATGTAGCTGTACTAGTGTGTAAAGCTGGTATGCCCCGATGTAGCTGTACATCAGACATCAGTCCTAGCCGTGCCCCCTGCAGACACTCAACACCCACATAAGCCACTGTGTCCATCTGACAGACATCAGTCCTAGCCGTGCCCCCTTCAGACACTCAACAACCACAGAAGCCCTGTGTCCATCTGACAGACATCAGTCATAGCGGTGCCCTCTGCAGACACTCAACACACACAGAAGCCACTGTGTCCATCTGACAGACATCAGTCCTAGGCGGTGTTAACCGCAGACACTCAACACTCACAGAA